AAAAATATATTTACTGTGTAGATGTAGTGTAAGGGTACATTTTATTATTTTTATATTTTATGATTAAAGTTTAAAATAAATTAGCTAAACAGAAAGCCTAATGCCTGTTTTCACCACCAATCCCTAATTTTAAGTGACCCCTAATGGTAACAAATAACAGGAATTTTCATGAATTTTGTTTACATAGGGGTAACTTAAAAATTAGGGATCGATGGTGAAAACGTGCATAAGTGTTTTATTTATACAGTGTGAGTCACGTTAAAGTGTACATATGAAAATAGATGAAACTAGACCTATTTTTATCGACAAAAAAGAGGTCAAAAAATATTTGAGATTTTTTTTCAATTTTTTATACATTTTTTTTTCTTCCAATTACTTTTACTGTTACTGTTTTTATTTTATTAGGATATACCGCTTAGTTTAAAAGTTATTACGTTTTCTTTACAATAAGTAATTGGAAGAAAAAAAATTCTATAAAAAATTAAAAAAAATCTCAAAAATTTTTTGATCTCTTTTTTGTCGATAAAAATAGGTCTAGTTTCATCTATTTTCATATGTACACTTTAACGTGACTCACACTGTATTTCTACCGTAAACAAGTTATGTTGTCTTGTCGTAATCTGATGATGACAAAAAAATTCTGACACCCGAAATTGTTTTGTAGTTAGTTGTCACTTTTAGAAGAAATGTTAGTTGTACTTACGCTCCAATAGTAACATGCATTAAACAAGTCGTAACTTGTCCAATGTATAATGCTGATTAAGTATCATTTTACAGCATATGCACTGTACGCACTAAGCAAGTCGTAACTTGTCATCATCCTAAATATAATGCTGATTGTGAAGAAAATGTCTCTGGATACCTAATATTGTACACGTGCATTACCTACTTACGTCAACCGTAAGCATCATTTTAGTAAATGAACAATATTGTCTAATAAGCTGTTTCATGTTGAAACTCGAATTATTTCTGAGTAGGTAAACATTNATATGCACTGTATGCACTAAGCAAGTCGTAACTTGTCATCATCCTAAATATATTGCTGATTGTGAAGAAAATGTCTCTGGATACCTAATATCGTACACGTGCATTACTTACGTCAACCGTAAGAAGTGCAAAGTTAACAGTTTTTAATAAGCATCATTTTAGTAAATGAACAAAATTATTGTCTAATAAGCTGTTTCATGTTGAAACTCGAATTATTTCTGAGTAAACATGAATGCACGTGTTGACAAATATTACCAGCTCATCAATTTTGTTAGAGGCAGGCATTACTTTTGTGTGGCATTTTTCATCATTCGATAGCCGACCGCTGCGAAAGCCACTTGGTACTCACTACACTTAGTGACAAAACAAAAGAAATGGACAGTACGTTGGAACAATACGCTCAAGATCCTCTTGCTGGCTTTAATTCAATGTATCCAGAGCTAGCCAGACAACAGCTGGAACCAAAGAAAAAAAGAAGCAAACGTCCTGCTGAAACTCAGGAAAATCCTACGCCACCGAAGAAACAGTGTCTTCAAAGTGGATCAAATTATGTGTACAGCAATGAAACCAGGCGAGGTCTTCGACTCATCAGGATAGAAGTCGTGGACTTGGACGGTGCAGTTCAAAGTGATAGTGATAATGAAAAAATACTTTATAGTGCTCAATACATTGTTACTGACAATTTTAATCCAATTATGGAGCAAACGGAACATTTAATAACCAATATATGCAAACAAATTTGTAATGATAATATTTAAAAATAAGTGACTTTTGTTTTTAAATTAAGTTTAAGTGTAAGTAACTTGTTTTTATGTTTTAATAGGATAAGTAAAATAAGATATTTGTGTTTAGTTAAGTTATTGATAAAATTAAATTGATTTAAACTTAATGACTTTTTATTTTCTTAAAACATAATTTAGGTTTAGGTAAATGAGACAGTTTATTTTATTAAACACATTTATTCATCATTTTAAATAATCATAATACAGTAATTAGCTTTTATTAATTTACACAATAATTAAAATAACACTACACTAAATAATACAATAAATTCATATTGCAAAATTTCTTTCAACACACCATTTCTTTATACATATAACATTTTTTAATGCACAAATTTTCTCATGGTTAACACAGTTAAATAATTTGGGATTATCTGAACAATAAATTTTGTAAAGAGTATTTAAACTAGGAACACCTAGATAAGTTATGTCCATTACACTATTTTGATTACACAAATTATCTTCGAGTCCGTGTAGCAGTGGGTCCAGAAGAAGGTTCCAGAGAAGGGGGCCGCCAATTGACCCTTGCACGCAACCTTTCGTGGTGTTTCGCGTGCTTTCTTCCCCGGCAAATCTTACTGTGACTTTTCTGCAGCTCAGGTAGCTGTCGAGTAGCCTCCTTACGTTTACCGGGCACTTTTCCTCAGCCAGTCGGACTCTTATGGCTGGCCACCATGCGCTATCGAAGGCCCCCTCTATATCCAGTGACACTAGGCAGACCAGCTTCTTCAGCCCAATTTTGCCTCGGATATGGTGTACTAGTCTATAGAGGGCGTCCTCGGTGCTCTTCTGGGGCATGAATCCGTACTGGCGAGTACTAATCCTCGGTACTAAATGCCATTTCATCCTTGCTACTGTCATCTTTTCCAGGATCTTCCCCAAGACCGGCAATAGACCTATCGGTCTGTAAGCCTTGGGGTTCATGTAGTCGTCCTTGCCCGGTTTTCTAAGTACCACCACTGTGGCCTCCTTCCAGATGTCCGGGAAGTGTGCGATCTGCAAACACTTGTTGTAGAGGGCAAGGAGAGCGTCCGGATCCTGGAATATTGCTCTGCTGCAGATGTCTGCTGTGAAGCCATCCGCTCCTGGGGCCTTCTTTGGATTAAAACTCCCCGTCGCGGTCTCTAGCTCTAGCGATGTAAACGGCGGATCCTGTGAATCATCACTATCCCCGGCGTTTACTCGCTCGGCCGTTTCTCTGACCCGGCGATGGTCTAGGTTGTCCGTAACTTCGAGGTCTTCAGGGTAGAAAGTTTCAGCTAGTAGATTTGCCGATTCTTTGGGGTTGAGGTGTTTTCCATCATTGGTTTTCAGGGTCATGTCTTCTTCTCTCCTGGCGGTTCTGCTAATGATCCTGTAGATCCCTTCCCATACTCCTTCTCTGTCCTGTCTTCCGCAGAACTCTTTCCAGCTCGCGGTTCGGGCGTTCTTGGCATGGCACTCATAGTCTTCTTTCTTCTCCAGGTATTCTTCGACGACCTTAGCTCTACGATCTGGCGCAGCATTTCTAATCCTTCTTCTGAAGGTTATCATTGTCTTCTTCTTTATCGCGAGCTCCTCACTCCACCATGGGACTGTTATTCTCTCTGACGTTCTCTTTGTTGGCATGCTGACCTTACATGCTTCGGTTATTGCCGTTGTGTACTTGACGGTAATGTCTTCCAGCTGACCCTTTGTCTCTACACTGTTTATTGCCGCTGAGGTGATGTTGTGTTCGGCCTTGTATGATGTCAGCTTTTCTACGAAGAGGTCCCAGTTTGCTTTCTTGGTGTTGTAGAGTCGTGTTGTTCTGTGGACTCTGAAGCCTTTGCTCTTCGTCAGGTTTAACCGAAAGAGAATCGTGTTGTGGTCAGAGGTGGTTACGGACTGGTCTACCCTCCAGTTGCTTATCAGTCCCATGAGGTCGTCGGTACAAGCTGTTATGTCGACATAGCTTGTGATAGCCCTGTTACCTCTCACGGTGTCGAAAGTTGGCGTATCACCGGTGTTCAATACCTGGAGTCCGGACTCTTCCAGGGTCCCGGACATCTCAACACCCCTGTGGTCCTCTATGGTGCTGCCCCACCAGGTGCTCTTGGCGTTACTGTCGCCTCCTATTATTAGTTTTGTCGGTCCCAGTTCTTCGCAAATGGTCTTGAGCCGGTCCAGGTATGGCCCTATGGGTTGGTCTGGTTCGAAGTAGAAGGACACCGCCGCGATTTCCCATACGCTGGTTCGGATCCTCACCACAACAATATTGTTGTCAGTGAGTTTCGGGCACTGTAAGACATCGATACTGTCATCAAAGACGATAATCGCTGCCTTGACGGTCCCATCTCCTACTACTGCGTTCTGGAAGACTCTCGCCCCACGATAGTCCTTCATCCTTCTAACCCCTCCCACATATGGTTCCTGAACAAGAGCTATTGCGATTTTTCTGTTAGCGGACTCTATCATTAGTTCTTCTGTCGCTAACATCTTCCTCTGTAAGTTTGCCTGGGCGACCAGGTATCCTCTGGTGGGGCTGCCTGCCCCTGTATCCGCCGGGACCACCTTAGCAATACGCAATTTTCGCCCTAGCTAGTGCCTCCCACTTTCTACGCACTGCGCACTCTGGGCTAAACGCGTTATGCTCCACGCTGTCCACCATCTTGGCTGCTGTACAATTACAACACCTCGGTGCTTCTCCTGCCAACCAGTCCGCACAGTCTCTCTTCATGTGGGGGCCACCGCAGTGGCTGCATTTAGGGATGGTTTCCTTGCAGAACCTGCGACCGTGGCCGTATCCCAAACATGACGAGCACTGTATCAACGGTGACTGGTCCTCCACCTTGATGCGTTGCATGTCTATATGTGCATAGCCTCTACCAATCAAGTTATTGTACAGGCGGGGAGATACCTTCAACACAACATGACTGCATAGTTGATTTCTCGCTTTCCGCCTGTACTTAATCTCAACCCTGTTCTCTTCCTTCTTCACGTCCGCAAAGACATCTGCATTCTGGTTCTTGAGTGCTAGTAAAATATCCTCATCGCTGTTTACCAGCAGAACGTCTTTGAGAACCACCATCGGGTCTTGGTTCTTGATATCCTCTACGCTAAGGTGGTCAGCTGCGCCTTTCAACCTCTCTTTAATACGTTGTCGAGCTTCTTCGGTTCTGCATCCCACTACTACTTTGCGGTCTTTGACCTTACGAACCCGTTCAACTGTCACCCAGCCGTCCTTTGCGTTTACAGTTGTTAAGTCCGTTACGAGGGATACGAGTGAAACGCTTGCTTGCTATTAGCACACTGTTTATTCTATCAAAAAGGACGGTGGGCGCAGCCACCGTATACATGCGTACATACGTAGCTATAACTACATAACAATCCTCCCCCGATTGACAGACATCAATTGATACTTCAATCTGTTAATAATGTTAAAAGAAAGCCCTATAATCGACTCTGGGTATGTTGCGTAATCTGCCCGATTCTCTGGTGTATGAAGGTATGGTGGTTTGCTCACTCGAGCCCAAGGGCTGGTTCTGAGTCAAAGATGAGTTGTCTTCCACTAAGAAATCATCATAATCCCAATGTTGTTGTAGAGTTTTACCACCTTCTTCACCCTTATACGGTAAAATTTGATTTTTATGCTTTTTCATTATTACAGATGTTAGATCGTCTCGGATTAGGTATAAAACGCTGCCAATAACACGTACCACAGTACCGATGCACCACTCAAATTTCTTATTATTTGAATATTTTTTATAGTTTACTTTATCGCCAACTTTGTAAATGTATTTGTTTGTTCCTCCATAGTGTTTAATCTGCGAGCACTGGTTTTGTTGTACGTTATTAGCAGAAGATGTGAGTGACGGTGAAGGCGGCGTAGGTTTAAGTAAATCTAACAGCGACCTAAGTTTATGACCAAATACTAGTTCAGCTGGTGAGAACCCTGTGACGGAATGCTTAGAATTTCTGTAATCGAAAAGGTATTTAGACATTTTTAATTGAAGGTCGTATTGATGACTAGCCGAAAGGATGCATGATTTTATTCCTTTCTTAATGATTTTAACATAACTCTCAGCTTGGCCATTACTAGCCGGGTTGTATGTTGGTGATGTTAAATGTTCAATACCATTAATTGCACAAAATGTTTGGAACTCACTAGACGTAAACGCTGTTCCATTATCACTAACGATTGTGTGTGGTAATCCATATTTTGACATAAAATCATACATATTTTTTACTACATTTCGAGAAGTCGTTGAGGTAGTCATATCGTAAATGTCAACCCACTTTGTATACGCGTCAACGATAACTAGATACATACGATTATTAATTGGACCCAAAAAATCGATATGTATACGAAAAAAAGGTTTAGGGGGGTATTGCCAAGGCGCCAGGGGCGCTTTTGCTGGTGTTGGTCGAAGTTGCCGACATATATTGCAAGAGTCAATCATATTTTCTATATCATTATCAATACCTGGAAACCAGAATCGAGACCTAGCTTCACATTTTGTTTTTACAATGCCGAAATGTGAACTGTGCAGCTCCGATAGCACCTTAGCGCGCAAAACCTCCGGCAAAATTACCTTGTGTCCTCTCATTAAACATCCGTTTTCATAGGACAATTGCAGTCGACAAGAGTGGAATGGTTTTACGTTTATATCAACCATTTTCCTTGGCCACCCCTTGAGAACGTAGTCGATTACTTTACACAAGGTAACGTCGTTTTTAGTTTCCTTACGCAACTCGTTTAACGTTATAGGCAAATTTCCCTCCACAATAAAGTTGACGTAAGACGCCCGGTCCACGAGCGCCGCTGCGTGTGCGCCTCCCTCCCCGTGCGGGGCCCCCCGCGCGTCCGGGACGCTCGCCCGCGACAGGTAGTCTGCGCTGTTATCAGCACTACGCACGTATTCTATATTATAATTGTAGGCACTGAGAAACATCGCATACCTTTGTAACCTGTTTGCTGACACTTCCGGTATTCCTTTATGAGGCCCAAAAATGGATATAAGTGGCTTATGATCGTTTCGCAATAAAAAGGGAAAAGACCTTCCGTACAAATATTGGTGGTATCGACGCACTCCAAATACAATGGCAGTAGCTTCTTTTTGTATTTGTGAATATCGTTTTTCTGCCGAGTTTAGTGTTCGCGAGGCGAATGATATAGGCCGTTCTAACCCGTCGCTGCCTATCTGTGATAAAATAGCACCTAACCCGTTCGGGGATGCATCTACGGTTAATATTAATTTTGCCTGGGGATCGAAATGTGCCAAAACTTGATCCGACATTAAAAAAATTTTTATAAGTTTAAATGCCTCATCATGTACTGATGACCAATGCCATTTAACTCCTTTTTTTAGTAAATCGTATAAAGGACTAAGGACACTAGAAGCATTGGGCACAAAATTCCTGTAATAATTCACCATTCCTAAAAAGGATTGTAATGAATTAACATTATTAGGCACCGGGGCGTCAGCAATCGCATTCACTTTCCTCGGGTCTTTCTTTAACCCGTCCCTATTAATTATATAACCTAAATAATTAATTTCATTTTTGAAAAATTCGCATTTCTCTTTTTGCAGGGTTAACCCAGCATCCTGGAGTCTTTTGAGAACTATGTGTAGTTTTTTTAAGTGCAGTTCTGGACAGTTATCAGTTACTAGGACATCGTCTAACAGGCACAGGACACCGTCCAGGCCAGCGAGTATATTTTCCATAGCCCGTTGAAATATCGATGGCGCGCTTGACAACCCAAACACCAAACGAGTGTAATTAAATAGACCACGATGCGTATTAATGCATGTAATGTTTTGTGACTCTTCATCTAGTAAAAATTGGTTGTATGCCATCGACAAATCTAATTTTGAGAATTGTTGTCCTCCGTGCAATTTTGAAAACAACTCGCTAACGGTTGGAAGCGGATATTGCTCGACAAGTAATTGTTTGTTTATCGTAGCTGAATAATCTGCACATATTCTAACTGACCCATTTTTCTTAAGCACAGGCACGATTGGAGATGCATATTCTGAATGTTCCACCGGTTTTAAAATACCTAACTTTACTAGACGGTCTAGTTCTTTATCTACTTTATCTCGTAAAGCGAAAGCTACTGGCCGCGCTTTAAAAAAAAATGATTTCGAATCTGGCTTTAGTTGTAGCTTAACTTTATATTTATTAAAGGCGCCTAATGAGTCTGAAAAAACCTCAGGAAATTGTGATTGCAATTCTTGAACAACTGTACTCGAGTTAGTGACAAAATTACACGGAATCAATTCCAGTTTAAAACTCGAAATAAAATCTCTGCCTAGTAACGGCGGGCCCCCATTACATATAACATAAATAGCGAGAATGCGAGTCTGTTGCATATAAGTAACTGGTAATCGAACATAACCTAAACACGTCATTTTATTACCTGTATAAGTAAATAACTTTTCGTCCGCGGGTAGCAATGGCTGATTTTTAAAATGAGAGTTATACATTTTTTCTGATATCACCGTGACAGCAGATCCACTATCTATTTCAAATCGCAATTGCATTCCATTTATTGTTACCATTTCCGTCATTGGTTCACCAGTTACTGAGCGAATATTAAATAATTCCTTACCGTCATCATCGTCACTCACATCCTCCGTTGAAATAAAATTCACTTTCGTGCACATTTTTCGTAGGTGACCCTTCACGTTACATTTTCTACACTTATAATTAGCAAATCGACACTGAGATGACTCATGATTTGAACGACCGCACACTAAGCACTTCACATCCGAACGAACGTTATTCTTGGGTTTCGAGGAACTATTCACTATCTTAAAAACCGTTTCTTGAAGTGGAGCGGCTGACGCTGATGCAGCTCCTGCGCGAGCACAGTGTATGCTCTCCGCCAGCTCGACCGCCTTCGCCAATGACAGCCCGTCCATGTCCTGCGCGAACAGCTTCTCGCGTTCAGGACCTGCTACCATCCCCATGACGAATCGGTCGCGGAGTGCCTCTTCCACATCTTTAAATCCGCAGTGCGCCGTTAGCCCACGTAACCTCGCAGCCCATTGGGGATGCGATTCGCCGTGTTGCTGCGTTGCTGCGTAGAATTTGTACCGCTCGCTGAAGCCACATCGTTTAGGTGTGAAATGTCCATCCAACAGGTTGATGATCTGTCCATATGGTAAATCTTGAAGTTCTTTTGGCAACGCCAAGTCCGCTGCCAGCTTGAATGTGCCATCCGCCAGTGCACTCAGCAATATCGCTCGCCTTTTTATTCCCGACGTATCATTTTTCGCATCGATATCATTTGCGATGAACCACTGTGATATTCTACTTTTGTACGTTTTCCAATCTTGCACATTGTGGTCAAACGTTGATAAAATGCCAAAATTAGACATGCTTTAACGGCCGTTTTTATTTTGTGTAAACGTGGGTAATCTGTCGCCAGTGTTAAGTCCGTTACGAGGGATACGAGTGAAACGCTTGCTTGCTATTAGCACACTGTTTATTCTATCAAAAAGGACGGTGGGCGCAGCCACCGTATACATGCGTACATACGTAGCTATAACTACATAACACTATACATGATATTTTCTTAACAATGTTACTCAAAGGTTTGTATTCGAATATACAATCGTTTAATATCAAGCAATAAGCAGATGTCTGATCTGGTATTTCTTGGTCTGTTTCGATTTCAAGTCTAACTGACTGACGATTTGGGCGAAATAAACGTTTCACTAGGCGAACTTAACTGCATACTTAAATACATAAGAACGACAACGTGGCTTACCCTTTGTTTTGTTACAGATTTTAACGTGTTTATAGGTGGCAGGGAAGTGATACTTAATTCGTGTCGCCTTTGTTCAGCAATCAAAAAATTATGTAAATAGGGAATTCAAACATAATCCATATAGGTTAAATGAAAGATACACTAATGGTTACTTTCAATACAATGTTATTTTTGACTAATTATATTTTTATATATTTTTTATTGTGATTTACATCATGAATTCTGGAATGTCACCCCACAGGGAAATGAGAATTTTTCCCATTTGAAGCCATTTTTGTCTGGGATGTTTTTATTAAAACGTGTTGAAATTCAGTGACCAAGTACTATGTGAGTTAAACTTTATTAATACCCTAAAACGAGAACTATTAATTGGTAATTTAAGGAGCTGCAGGTTGAGCCCCGTAAAATTCCCTGATTTGTAGAACTACCCATAAGTAATTGTACACGGGAATAAAGTTCAGCTACTACTGACCGTAACTCTCACTCTAGGCCCATAGTCCTGCTCGACGAGGCATAACAGCGTCCCGCCTCGTTTCCCAGATAGTTGCATTTTGGACGTACTCAATACCTTTAGATTCTTCCTTATCTAAGGGGTCTTTTGACTGAAGAATACTTGTAGAACCGGTAAATTTTCTTTGTCAATAGTGCCGGCCAGGTTTGACAGCATGGCATCGAGTCCAAAGATCCACATGGCTCTATTTTGAGTTCGATCTTGTGGAAAATTGAATACAAGTGGGTACTAAATGGAACCCTTTTCAAGGCATGGATATTTCAAAGTATCTGTCATGCAGATAGTTTCATCATTACAAGAATATCCTCATAAATAAAGAAATAACTTTCACAGCGACGCAGCTTGCCTGGGCGCCACAGACGGCATTATGGTCGCCCTAGGCCAAGGACCACATATATTTAAAGGCATCCCTGACACCTTCACTTGACGCCCACACCAATGTCAAAACTAAGGCCCAGATCAAATATCTAAGAGTTATCCTGTTAATTACCAGTGGCGCCAAGTAGTGAGCGCAAATACGGTGACCTTATGTATATAACCAGTGGCAGCTTGCACTCTTTCCAATCCGTCGCCGTGCGAATGGAAGACAGCTTGCTTTTTCGTGGCTGCTTCCCTAATTTGGAGGTCCGAAAACTCTATGTCGGAAGGCTGTGGAGAAAGGCCAGGAGCTCTATACTGGTACCCTCAAAAGCATGATTCTGTCCCATCTAAGGCATCACCCTCATAGGGAAGGGTAACGCTGCCCATCTTCTAAGACCTGAAAGTCTACAGGGCTACATCGCCTACATAGTCGGCTTTAACGCAGCGTGAAGAACGAGGTGAAAGCTCCGCCATAGGAGGACAGAGAGGCCGTTTGATGTGAGACTCGCTAGACTGTGCTGTAGTCTAATAGTTGATAAACCACCTCGCCGTGGACCGTGGCTAAGTTGGGTCGCCGAACCTTATTCGCACTCATGCTGAAGTTTAAGGTTGCTCTAGCGATCGCACCATGACTGGGCACGGATCCTTCGAGCCCTACCTGTATTGCGGTGGCTAGGAGCATACGATACACCATATTCTTGCGGGATAGCATAGTCAAAGCTATGTGGACGGTAACAAAAGTTGGGTGGTAATGAAGCACCTCTATCTGAGAAGACAAGGTGTCGCAAGAAGCTGCAGTACGATAGCGCGACTACGAACCAAGTGCGGGTGTATTTGAATTCGTTCCAGGGAAGGTGACAGTATGATTGCCTCCTATCTTCCTTCCTCGGTAATGGCCAGCGTAACGGGGGCGTGAGGCCGCACGGAAGGCATTGCATAGATAGGCCACCACCACCGTCTGCTGACGGTGAGTGTGTGTACGGAAAAGCTGTGTACTTCCAGTTGCTCTCGTCCTAACTGTCGCCGTGTAGGTGGGAGATCTTTGTCCGGAATCTCAAAGTTAGCACTTATAGCGAGTGACGGGGCACCAGGGTATTTTTAGTGGGTATACCTCATCCTTCTGAAGGGTATATGTTTGCAATATCATGTAATAGTAGATTCTAAATGCAGTTAATTTAAACTTTTGTTTGTAAGTGTTACCTGCTTATCTTTATTTCTGAATGCCTTAATATGCTTAACACTAGAGTACACGCGCGGACTACTATAGTAGACCAGGGTAACATTTTACGCTATAGCTTTTTGAAAATTTGCGCCAGAGAGCTGGCATTCCAGGAAAGCCTCATTTACTAAATTTGTCAGTTAGCCAGTAAAGCTTGGGTCGCTAGAGTCTGTGCACTTTTCTAAAATTGGCCGTCAAAACAACGGGTCTACTCAAAAGTCCGAAATCACTCGACAAAAAAATTATGAAAGACTTGTAACAAATGGACTTACACCGTGTACTAGGCAGTAGAAAGTCATGAATACTGTGACAGATAAAAAACTAATCATATTTTTTCAGTCAAATTGTTTTTGTTAACATTGGTCTCAGAGTGCAATTTTGGTCCAAAAAATTTACAACTTTTAAATCTGTTTATAATGTTTGATCCCAAATAGTTATATAAAGAAACTTTGATTATAAAATAACTATAATAAACACTTTTATCATTTACATAGTAATTCTATTCATAATTTGCTTATAAACTGATTTACAGTGATTTTAAATTGGCTTACCAGAGTAGGCCGCGCGTGTATTCGTGTAAAAAAAGGGGCGCGTGTACTGCAGTGTTAATAAATAAATAAAATAAATTTTACGATTTTTTACTTGTATCTTGTATTATAAAGTAGCATAGGAGAAGAACTTGGTTACGTTGAGTCTAATAAATGATCCTAAATACTTCAGTCGTGTTGTATAATATCATATTTTATATTGTTTTGTCTTCACTTTTATGTCCACCAAATATTGATAAAATACAATTTTTCAGCGTAAAACACCGTTACTGGCACTAACTTATAGACATAAAACAAACTTTTCCAAAGTAAAACATTTATAGTGGCAGTTACGGCTAGAAGATACTTGAATTTTCCGACGTAAAAATAAGTAAGTGCCACCTACTTATAATAACTTTAATTGTCCCGAGTAAAACAATGCAACTACGTTATGCCTACAGTTAACTGATTAATTTGCCGTTGGTTTAATGTTGACTTAAATAAATTAAGTCAGAAACCTTAATAATACCTATTTCCTTCATAAATTACGTATCAATTTACTCGATCTGCGCGAATGAAAGTGGCAGTTGCGGGACTGGGCGCGCGGAGTAAGGTGTGCGGTCCAACGTAAAATTTCTTAACTCCCACTCATGCAATTTTACTGCGGAAATCGTTCTAATTTTGTAGTTGCGGGATTTGTTTTTTGACGTTTTAAGGTTCAATTTGAATAAAAACTGTATGTTTTTTTAACTGAGCCGAAACTGTTGGGTGCTCTGAAGGTTTTGCAAACAAAAACGGCAAATCACGGAACTGGTAGATGGGTCATTCCACCGGCCAAGAAAATCACGTGTCCGGGGCCAAAAAGTACCCGAATATCATAATATTTTATTAACAAATATTTTTATCTAATAGTATAACTTTGGTTCTTGTTGTTAAACCACAGAGATAGTTAATAATTGTTTCGAGCTCAGACTTTCGAATATATGTAGGAATAAGGG